GAGGCCAGGGAGGATAAATGACTTGGTCAAGGTCATGCAGGGAGTAAAACTCACAGTGGAATTTATAGCCCAGAGCCGGCTCCCTCCCTGGCACTATTCCAAGTCAGTGGAAAGTGTGGTCCTCGGGAGGTGGAGAGGGGTGGTCTCACCCTGCCCCCCCAACCACCCCCTTTCCAACACAAGCACTTGGGGAACCCCGAGCCTGGAAATAAACAAAGCCAGGGTCTACAGGATCGAGCACCGCTTCGACCTTCACCCAAAGGCTGTGGCCTCCCTCCCTTCGGGTGGCTCTGAGATGATTCCAGGGCGATGACGCGGGCTTTGGAGGAGCCAGGCCCGGCCTTTGCTTCTTCCTAACTGCAGCTCTTCCAGGGCTGAGCAGCAGCTCCCTCAGAGGCGTCGGGACAAGTCGAGGCAAAGCCGAAGACTCGGTGTTGCCGAGGCAGCCGAGCTGGTTAGCATTTAATTGGGCTCGGGATCCGGGTCTGGCTGTTTGTGGGCCTTAAGTCATCCCTCACCTTGCCAAGAGGCCCTACCACACACCTGGCACAGGTCGGGGCACGCCCTCGGTGCCCAGGCCAGGGTGCCCAGCCATGGCTTGTGGGACAGTGACTGGCGAGGAAAGGGCTTGTTCTCACCCATGATTCTGCTTCGGGGCTTTCAAAGGTGTGATTTAAAATCTACAAGCAGACATATATGTTCATGTGCGTGCACACACTTTATGTTCTGGACTGAAAGGCTTCTCTTGACTCCCCCTCAACCATTCCATGTTCCAGCTAAGAGGCTCTTGTACACAAAATTCCATTTCCCAGCTCTGTGATTTTGCATAGTAACTACCAATCTCTTATGCAGTGCCAGGCGCAAAGGAGAGGCTTTATGAAATGCTTGTTGACTGACTGCCTGACTGACTGACTGACTGATGCCCAGTCCTCACCCTCATTAGGTTTAGCCTCTCCTCCTGGGGTGGGGGTGCCTTTCTTTAAACTCCATTGCTTCTTATGTGTGTGCCTGTTGTCTCTCCCAACAGATTGGAAGCTCCCAGAGGGCAGGGCTTTTTAAATCAGGGGTTTGTATCCCCAGTGCCCAGCACAGTGCCTTGTGGGGCCCATGCCTACGCCCGGCTCATAATGCATCTTGCAGGTCAAATGTCAGCTCTTGGAGGGCGGGAGTCTGTTTCATTTTTGTTTCTGCCCCATCCCCTTGCCCTGTGCTTGGGATCCAGGAGGGGCTTTATCTATGCCTGAGAATTTCTCATCGCCCTTGACTCCAGCACTCGAGGTCAGGCACCCTTCCCTTGGGCCCTGGAATGTTGGTGATGCCCTCCTGTGGCTGCTCCTCCAGCTTGTCCACACACACCCTCACCACTGCCAATCGGACATTTCTAAAGCCAGCCCTGGCCATGTCACCCTGAGGCTCTAAGCTCATGAAGCTTTCCTCCTGCCTCTCAGGCCCTCCAGGGGGCTTCCCCCTACTCGTGGGGTCCCTCATGTGCACAAGTGGGCCCCCTGCCTCCCTTGGCCTCTTAGGATCCTTCTTCCTTTCCACCACACCTCCTACATGACTCATCCAGCTATTTCTATTTTCTTCCTTTGGAAATGACATTTACTTTGCATTGACTTCTCGGTGACTGTTTACCTGCTTGTGTACACATGTGTGTGAGCTTCTCTGTGGCAGGGACCATGGTGGTTTTGTCTGTGTTTCCCCAGAACCCCTGCACTGTGCCTGGCATGTAAGAAATGCTTCCTAACTGCTTGCATTGCTTGAATTGAATTGAAAGTTCACTTTGGAGAGAACCTTGGCAGAGGCGCCCACTGATATCCCAGCCTTGGGAGTTCTCAAACTTGGAGAGGATTAAGAACATGAATCAGCTCCTGTTGCAGGGCGAGGCAAAGTTTGTCTGTAATCCCGGATACCCGATATCCCAGGAGGTCTAGGAAGAACAGCTGATACAAGACATCCCCTAATAGTCTGTGATACATTCTTCCACCAATCCCAAGAGTCTGGGGGAAAGTGAGAGGGAACCTGGGGCAGAGGGATAGCACAGTTCTTGGTTCCTGGGCCCCTCTCTCCCCTTCTTAGGGTGGTCTTCACGTCCTTCCCCTTGGGCACAGCACAGCTGTTCTGCTGGATGCCTCATAGACCTAGGGTGTGGCCTCTTTTTGGTGTTCTAGTTCATCTTTAGCTCCCAATGCAGAAGCCCCCTCAAGCTACTGCTTTTCTGGAGATTTGAGTGAGAATTTCCAAATCCTCGGACCCTCTGAAGTGCTCAAGGACCTCCTCTGGTAAAGGAGGGATGACCAGGATTGAGGCCTCAGATCATCCTCTCCATAGCCTTCTCATCCTCAGCTCACTAGAATGCTTCCATGCTAAGCCCACATGCTTCCAGAATGCCCCAGTGTGAACTAGCTCACTGGGTCTGTACAAAACCCCCTGGGTGAGACTGAGCTCCCTCAAGACCCAAACAGACCCCCTGTCCTGTGAGTGGAAATGGTTTTGATTGCTTGTTTCAATGGAAATGTCACACCCTGCTCCACCCAGTTCACACCTCTGGTTAACTGAGATGTGTTCTCACCTAATCAAGGCATCTGGACATAGAATCTTGTTATCTGGGGGGGAGGGGGTTTGTGATTTATTGATTGATTCACCCCCACCCTTATGCAGCAAATATTCAGCCACATTCAAGCACCACAGTTTGCTTAACCATTCCCCAGATTTCATTTTCAGTTCTTTGCTCTCTCGCTCTCGTGCTCTCTCTCTCTCTCTCTCTCTCTCTCTCTCTCTCTCTCTCTCTCTCTCTCTCTCTCTCTCTGTCTCTGTCTCACACACACACAGACACACAGACACACAGACACACACACACACACACACACACACACACACACACACACACACAAGACCTAGGTTTGAGTCCTGCCTCTAAAACTTACTGGCTGGGTAACCTGGGCAGTTCACTTAACCCTTTGATGCTCTAAGAGTCTAAGTAGTAGAGCGTAGCACTGGGAGTTACCTCACCTGGAAATTCTGATGTATTGCTGAAAGCTGATGAAACTGGTCTGATTCCTATCCCTATTAATATTTCTGTGCTTATGGGATTTTTCTTCCTGTCTCTAACCTGCTTGTACTTAAATTCCTGGCAATAAGATAACTGAGTCAAAAATATGGGTATTTTAGTCCTGTTTCTTGGCTAATTCCAAATCACTTTCCAGAGCACTTGGACCACAATCAACAGCCCCAAAAAGGGGCATTGGTGCCAGTCTTCCTGCAGGAAGCACCTCCCGCATGGTCTAGTTCCATCTTTTATCATTTCTTACCATTGACTGGGCATGTGGGGAAGCCCTAGAGTTGTTGGGCTTTGCCTTCCTCTCCTCAGTCGGGATTTTCTCCCAACTTTTCCACTGAGTTTGTGACTCAACAATTCTTCGGCCTCTTTCCCTCCCTGGGCTGCATTCTCCATTCTACTTCAGTTGCAGACTGACACAGTCATACCCCACCTGCTACCTTTCTACCTCTTTCCCTGACACTGAGCCGATTCTTCCTAAAGCCATGGCCTCCAATCCCTATTCAAGGTCAACCAGCACATGTTAAGCACCTCCTGTGTACCAGGCATCGTGCTAGGTGCTGGGGAGACAGGGACAAAGAATGAAAAAGTCCCTACTCTCAGAAAGCTCACATTCTTACTGGGCAATCACCTGCCCTTGACATCCTAGAGTCAATCAGCTTTCCATGGTCTCCATCTGTCTTGACCACCTACAGATTTTGACACTAATTTTCCTTGTAGTTATAACAGATCCTTATGTCATGTTACTCCTCTGCTCACTAACCTTCCGTGGCTCCTAACTGCTGCCCAGATGAGATTCAAACTTCTTCACTTGGCAAACTGGAACCTTCCCTTTACAAGCAGTCATTCCGTGCGCTTTAAATCTAAAATTTTGATATTCCACTCACTCTGTGCTCTAGACCAACTGAATACCTCTGCCCAGTGAGTGTTTTATATGCTTTCCTGCCCTTGTGCCTTTTTCCAGGCTATTCCGTCTACCCAAAACAATCTGCTTCTCTGCCCCTGTTTTGTGTTTTGTGTTTTGAATTATAAAAAAACCTGTTTATTTGTCCTCAGAATATGCAGAGGGTCCTGTCTGTTTCTAGGACACTGACACATTACTTTTGATAATTTCATTCCTCCTCCCCTCACTCCTACACACACACACACACACACACACACACACACACCCATCCTTAGATCAGGAAACCTCTTTCACCGTAGCAAAGCCAGGGGGTGGGGGATGAGAGGAAGAAACTCCTCATCAGAATGCTTCTGGGTCCAAGAAATCAAAGCGGCCAATTCCCTGCCCCCAGGCAGAATGTTGGGTGAGCCACCACTTTCTTCCCCGATCATTAGCGTTCCTCCCTCTCTCCTAGTCCGAAGCTGGCCCAGAGGTCTCATTTCAAAGCCTGCTTCCACGAGTAAGTTGCGCCGGAGGCTACAAGGACTCTGGAAGAGTCCCTGGCCCGCCAGGGCCCTTCCTCCTCCTAATTCACTGGAGAAGAGCAAACATTTTTTGGCTGAGAATTTTCAGAAGAGAGTGAGTCATGTGTGCCTCTGGCAGACTAAAATCGTGAGCATTTTGGAGGCTGGGAGGAAGCTGTCCGGGGCCCACACCTCTGCCCCACAGCAAGGCCGAAGAGCAACTCATCAGCCCCGATACACTGGGGGTGGGGGAAAGAAGGGGTGGATTTCTCTTTGGATTCACTCATTCATTCCACAAACATTTATTAGGTCACTACTGGGTGCCAGGCACACAAAGAAAAATGAAAACAACCCCTGCCCTCGGGGAGCTTACATTCTACTCAGAGATACAAGTTACCTACATAAGTAAATGCAAGATACAAGATAATTCAAAAGGGTACAGAGTTCTAAGGACAGTGGGGATCAATCAGTCATTTATTAAGCACCTACTGCGTGCCAGGCACTATGCCAGGTGCTGGGGTCTAAAGGCAAAAGTGAAACAGTCCTTGCCTTCAAGGAGCTTCCATTCCACTAAAAGGATTCCACACACACACACACAAATAAATACAAAGTCAACAAAGAATGAGAACAGCAACAACTGAGGGAGAAGGGGAGGATCCGGAAAGGGGGCAAATGCACAGAGGTGGGAGATTCATGGGAATGACTAAATAGTCCAGTTTGGCTGTAGTATAGAGTGCACTGTGTCTGGAGAAGAAAGAGATGAAGAAATGCTCCTCCCTGCATTCCTAGGCTGCGTAAGACAGCAGACACTAATTTAATGTCAATTCATTTTTCCTAACCGATGTTCCTTATGCAAAGGGAAGGTTCACTGGGTGCTGTAAAAACCAAAGCCAGGCTGAGGAGCTATGTCAGAGGCCACGGGGAGCCTCCCAGCCGAGGGAGGGCGAGGGCTGCCACACTCAGCTCGGGTCTTAGGAAGCTTTTTAATCTCCTGTTTGGAGGAGGGACTGAGGAGAGGAAACCCAGAGGCAAGGCTGAAGCAATCCCAGGGGAGGTGATGAGCACCTGGGGGTGATGGGAAGGGGAGCCGAGGGTGGCTTTCAAAAGAGAAGGAAGGAGCAGAAACAAGAGACCAGCCAGAGGATTGTGGAACAGAGGAGACGGTCCCTTTGTAGCTTGGAGAACGTGGCTGAGCGCTAAGCATCGGGGAAGCTGGTCCAGCAGCTTCCCAGAATCCCCCTCTGACGTATACCCTGGCTGGGGAGGGAAATGAGATCCTTCAAAGGCTTGCTCCCAGGTGGGGATAGCCACCTGTTCCTGAAGTGAAAGGCATTTTAGAACCAGGCCAATTATTCCCAGCTGGAGAGAGAGAAACACTTTACCCTGCTCCTTCCCCACCAGAGTCCAGGATGCACAGGGGCAGCTGTGCTCTGGCCAGGGAAGGGGACCCGGCCCCAAGGCCCAGCGGGCACAGGGCATTCATCTCTCTGGTAACAGCACAAAGAAGATGGCCTTCAGGAAGTGACCGAAGCTGCAGAGGGCGGCCACAAGCCAGTGGGATCGAAGGCTGGGGTCAGTGTTCACCACACACTTCATGATGTCTGCCTACAAGGGAAAGAAAGCAATTATGAGACTCCAGCCCCTGGGCGGCTGAGGGGGGCAGGGAATGGAAGTGGGAAGGTCAGTGGGGGAGGAGGGGGTCTGCCCAGAGAGATGCTGGGGAACAGTAACTGAGGCCTCCTGCTTGGCCAGGTCACTCTGTAGACCAAATGGGATTTCGTAAAATCATCCCAAAAGGCACCAGAGCCTTGGAATACGTAATCTCCCTATCACTAGCTGACCTTCTCTCCGGGAGGCTCTAGAGGGGATTTCGGCTAGGGGAGAGGGGGAGAGAAGAGAACTCTTTTGCATGCCTGAGACGCGGTGGCATAAGAGTAGGAAGCTAAACTGGGAAGGCCTGGATTCAAATCCCCCTGGAACAAATAAGCAGTCTGAGCTGCTGGGTCCTCTTCTGGAAAATGGAGCTGATGTCAGACACACCTCACAATGGAGATCACATGATATTGTATTAATTAAGTGCTCAGGGCTCTATAAATGATTATCCCTTCCTGGCTCCCGGTTGGATCAAATAGCCTGCAGGTCTGGGCTCCTCCTGCCTGCCCCAGCAGTCCCTGCCTGAGGAGGGGGCTTAGAACTCGGCCAAGCAAGGCTGGTGGGCACCTAGGGTGGGGACACAGAGCTTGACTTCAAGTGTGTGAAGGCTGGCCCTCGCGGGAAAAGGCGTAGAAGTCAGAGAGAGGCAGAGTTGGTCCAAATTAGGACCGTTCTAATTAGAACTGCTGAATTCTAAGTGGAAGGGACTGCCTGGTAGGGTAGTGAGCCGCCTGTCCCTGCAGATCTGTGGGCAGAGGGTTGAGGGTCTCTTGCTGGGATGCCAAGAGGAGATTCCTGGTCAGGCGCCAGCTGGACCCACAGATCTCAGAGGTTCCTTCCGACTCAGAAATTCTGGCATTCTTTAGGATCCTAGCTCCAGAGCTAGAAGAACGTAGGGTCCTTCCTTCCTCCCTCATTTTATAGATAAGGAAACTGAGGCTTGAGGTCACATGACTTTCCTAAGTGTCAGAGCAGGGATTTGAACCCAAGCTTTCTGACTCCCAATCCCTCACCACACTTCAGCCTCTCCATGGAAGACTTTATTAGCTGAGAGACGCTCCCCAGCCCTCCTCTTCCTTCTGCTCTGCTCCTCCTCCTACCCCACGGTGGCTGTGAACAGCTGCCCTGGCATGTCCACACCCTGTAAATTGCTAACCGATGCCTGGGGTTGGCTCCCGGGCAGTCCAGGGCTTGGCTCGTTCATCCCACTGTGCAGAGACAAGCTTGGCAGCATCTTCCAGGAGGAACGCTCTCTTCCCAACGCTTCAGCTGAGGGCTGGGTCTTGGGGAATGGCTTGTAAGTGACAGATTAAAAAAAAGAACAAGCCCCACTCCCTCGCCCCCGGCCAAGAGGCTCAGGAGGCTTCCGCATGGCTTTGCCATTGCTTCTGTCTCTTTCTGGACTGCTTAGTTAGAAAGGCAGCAAAAACAACACACTTCCAGGGATGGTTTCTCGGATTTCTTTCCTTCAGCCCAGCAAGCTGCTGAATTGAAACCAGGGTAAAGTGAGCTGATTGGGAGAACTGGGAGAAAGCTGATTCGCTCATGGGCCAGACTGCTAACCAGTGACGAAAGCTTCCTCAGGCAAAGCTCTCAAAGTGCAGGGGTGGGTCAGCCCGCCTGACACCCCAATTCCTGCACTCTCTTTAGTACCAAAGGGTCCCACTTGGCAAAGCGGAGGGGACTGTGCTCTTCCCCAAACAATATGGGTTGTGGGTGGTGGGCTGCAGGCATGGCTGAGGTCCCCTCATTTGGCTTCCTCATTTCGCTGATGAGAAAGCCAAGGGGTCACTGAAGTGGTAAGTGGCAGAGCCAGGATGAAATCCGGGTCCTCTAGCCCTAAACCCAGCCCTCTTTGGCCTCCTTCTTGTGGAGGGGAAGGGGGCAGGATCCCAAGACCAGGCACTGAATCTGCCAGCCAGGAGCCAGAGAAAAGCTGGGTCAGACCCACATGGGACTTAGGATAGGGATGTCTGCATTTCCACATGGTGGGTAAGGAGGGTGAGAAGAGGCCGCAGCCACCAGGAGGGAAGGAACAATCCCTGTCTGTCCAGGTCAAAATGAGAACCCACTCCCGGCCTGTGAAATGCTGTGAAGAGTCACTCCAAAGAGGGGACGTCTGAGCAGGGGGCGAGATCAGCCCACCACCCCGGGGTGACGGTGGAAGGCCAGGAGCCAGGATCTGTGAGGCACCTCGTCAGTGTGCATATGGGATGGGAGGGAGCTTTTGGAGGTCCCCGAGATTCTGTCACCTGCAGGCTTGAGGTATTATTGGCAAAGAAGAGAGGGAAAGAGGAGGAAGGAATGATAAGAGCCAGCATTTCTGTGCCCTTGAAGGCTTTACAGATATTAGCTCCATTGATCCTCAAGATGACCTTGTGAGGAAGGAAGGAAATCAGTATTTACGTAGGGCCTAATACGTGCCGAGCGCTGTGCTGGCTCAGTACTTTATCCTCACAACCACCCTGAAAAGAAGGCACTGTTATTATCCTGATTTGACAGATGGGGAAACTGAGGCAGGCAGGGGTAAGTGACTTGCCCAGGATCACACGTATAGTAAGTGTCTGAGGTAGGATTTGAACTTGGCTCTTCAGGGCCATTTCTATTTTACAGTAGAAGACACAGAAGTTGATTCAAACCCAGGCCTTCGCTAGCTCCACCCCCACACCTGGCAGGGGGAGATGCAGATGAGCATCCCCGGCAGCTGGGGGCCTGGGAGGCCGAGCCACCCCACTGCAGCCAAAGGTCCTCCCAGGAAGCTGGGGGGCCGTGGCTTTACATCCTTCAGAAGCTCACCCTGTCTGCTTTGCGCTGGATGGCGCTGCTGAGGGACATCAGCAAAGCCAAGCTGCTGCTCGCCGCAGAGAATCTTGGCCCCTCGGTCTTCCACATACTGATGCTGATAGGAAGGGGAGCAGTTCACTGGCCAGGACAGAAGTGGGGAGACTGGGGGGCGATGACTCGGGGACGAGGGGCTCAGGCTGACCCTCTCATCCTCCCCATACTGAAGGATTCAGCCCAGCTGCAATGGACCAGGCGGACGCTCCCCTGGCCTCCCACCATGCTCCCCAAATTAAAATCAGATACAAAACACAAGATTTCATGACAATTTCTCAGTGAGGGGTTTCAAGAAAGGGGCAAAGTTATTTATACTATTCGGAGGGTCTTTTTCTTCCTTCTTCTTGAATAATATTAAGGAGAAGGACCCTAGAGGCTGGCTGGGCTGTCTTGTCTTCCCTGCCCTTTCTATCCCTGATATGGAAAAAAACCTGCCTCGGTGTCTGTCTCCGTCTCTGTTTCTAATCTAAGTGTGTTTTGTTTTGTTTTGTTTCTAAACTCTTCTGAAGGAGGTGCCCTTTGACCGGGGAATGGCTGAGCAAGTTATGATATGCGGATATAATTTACTGTTACAGTACCATAAGAAGTGAGGAGTACAAGGAGTTCCCAGAGTCCCAGGGCAGACACAATCAGGAAGACACACAGCGACCAAAATCACACAAATGGAAAGAGGAAATTACAGAACAGTCCTAACTGAAGCTGGAAAGTCATAGCAATAGTCGAGCAGTAAGGGCTCAGTAAATATTCTCTCATCCCGTCCTCACAACCGCCGCAGGAGGTAGGTGCTAATGTGTATGACCTCATTTGACATTTGGGGAAACTGAGACAGAGAGAGGTGAAGTGACTTGCCCAGGGTCACCCAGCTGGTGAGGATCTGAGTGGGATTTGCACTCAGGTCTTCCTGACTCCTGACTCCATCACCTACTCTCCCGGAAAGCAAACACGGTCCTGCTGGAGAGAAAAGGCATCTGATTCCTTCCTTCCAGAGGTGGTGGACTATGGGTGTGAAACGTCGCATACGGTCAAACGTGGCTGAACTGATTCTATTCCCTTTTTTATTCTCGGTCACAAGTGATGACTCTCTGGGGATGGAAGGGGGATATATTTGGAACTGGAAGGAAAGTAAAAAATGTTAAAAATTTTCAAGTAGAAATATTGAAAAGTAGCGATGACATCGGGCACTCCACAGGGAGGCAGCTTTGTTGACCTGGCCATGGGCAGTGGGACGGGATTGGGTCTTGGCTCTTGCTAACACCCGGCAGGAGGAACCAGGAGGCTGGGGGTGAGAGGCTGGCACTGCAGCAATTAATTCTTTTCGCCGTCAGAGCCCCAGGGGAAACCCTACCCACGACAGCCGCCCTCTGAGCCAAGGCCAGTGCCAGAGACGCCCTGACAGAGATTATCTCCCAGTCAGCCCCAGCACCACCGTCAGTGGGAAGGTCCAGAGCAGTGTGCACATTTCGGGGGCAGAGGGCAGAGGGCAAGGTTCTGATGTGTGAGAGGAGGCGCCTGTGCCCAGCCTCAAGGCCACCCACCTCGGCTCTACCACAGCTGCCCAAGGGCAATCCCAGGGGCAGGGGCAGGCCAGCTGGCTCCTCCTGAGCACTCCTGCGTCAAGGTGGCTAGGAAGGGCAGGGCGAGCCCATAACCAGGGCAGGGGACCTGGGACTTTGACCCAGGCGCCAACCCCTGGGAGAACGGGCTTCCTGGGAGGAGGACATCTTTACTGACGTGGTCTGGAGAGCTCATCTGGGGGTCCACACCTTCATGGGGTTGGGGTAGGATGTGGGGCCCAGCAGAGGCCAAGGGAGTTCAGTCATGGGTCTTGGGAAGAGCTAGGCAGCCTCTTTCCTAGCAGACCTTTACCAGCGTAGCCCTCAGGGAAGGTGGGGTCCCTGCTCAGCTGCCAGGCAGCCAAACCCTTCATCTCCACCCACACATCCAGGGATCAGGTTAGTGGCCTTCCTCTGGGATTCTTCTAGCACAGCTCAGCTCCTTCTAGAGGAAGCAGCTGATGTAATCAGGAAAACCTGAGTTCAAATCCTCTGCTATCTGTTAGCTGGTGACCCTTGGCAGACAACTTCATTTCTCTGGGCCTCATCTGCAAAGGGAGGCTCTGTGCCTCAGACCCAAGCCCTCCTCGTTCCTGGAGTGGGTACTTATTAGCTTCACTTGCTAACTGCATTTCTATTTGGAATTTAACAAACGCTGTCAAAGCCCTGCAAAAGCAAACCACCCCCTGCCCTACCCTGGAAAGGATGAAGAGGTCACTGTCAGCAGAGGTCAGGGGAAGAGGGGAAGGTCAGACTGCCTCCTCTCCCCCATGATGCCTCATGGTTGGACTCTCTCTTGTGCCCACCTGCCTTCTTCCTCAACTACCCTGGGGGCCCAGGCCACAGCTGCCAAGCAGTAGCATCCCCTTCCCCAGTGCCAGCACTCCTAGCTGCAGCTATGAGGGCAGGGCAAATCTCTGCTGACAAAGGGGTGCCAGGGGAAGGGGCTGGGCTGGACAGAACTGCAGGCCTCTCCAGCCCAGATACCAAGGAGACCCAGAAGCACTCTGTGACTGGCCAGCTGATACAGCAAGCCACAGCCCAGAAGGAAAGGGGCTGCCTGAAGGCACCGAAGGTGGTCCCCAGCCACAGGTGGTGGCCAGCAACACAATCTACCTCCTTCTGCCCTTCCGCCAGGAGGCCAAGGGGCACAGATTGAGAAAAGCAGCCCAACCTTCACAGATGAGGAAACTGAGGCAGAGAGAGACAGAGACAGAGAGACACACACACAGAGACAGAGACCCCAGGCCACCCAGATGCTCTGCCACCAACGTGCGGGTCTGACCTAAGCCCGTCCCCTTTTTTCTGGTCACTGCCGGAGGCTCTGCCTTGTATCCCGGACCCACTAGTAACGGTGGTCAGGTTCCTTCATGGGAGGAATCGGGAAGGAGGCAGGCCTTTTCCCTTTCTCTGGCCTCTTGGGCAAGGCAGAGGGATGCCTTCAGCTCACCTTCCTTGCCTCATTAGGGCAAGATGCCATGGTAAGCAATATCCCAGGGAGCTAAGGGCAGGGCCATCCTTCAGCCCTGGGAGGGGCTGCCCAGAGGAAACCCTACCATGAATGGGCAGGGAATTCTCGCTGAGCAGAGGGAAATCCTGGGTAATGACTGGGGTGTGGCCACGGGAGGTGGGGTCCCTGCTCAGCTGCCAGGCAGCCAAACCCTTCATCTCCACCCACACATCCAGGGGTCAGGTAAGTGGCCTTCCTCTGGGATTCTTCTAGCATGGCTCAGCTCCTTCTAGAGGAAGCAGCCGATGTAATCAGGAAAACCTGAGTTCAAATCCTCTGCTATCTGTTCCTGGTGACCCTTGGCAGACGACTTCATGTCTCTGGGCCTCATCTGCAAAGGGAGGCTCCGTGCCTCAGACCCAAGCCCTCCTCATTCCTGGAGTGGGTACTTATTAGCCCCACTTCTGACTTGATTTCTATTTGGAATTTGGCAAACGCTGCCACATTAAATGTGTCCTGGACATGAAACCGTGGGCCTCTATGGTGGGCCACTTGTCCAAGCCGTCTGCCTGCCTGGCCTTCCTTCTGATCTCTTCTGTGCCTTTGGTGACTGTCTGTCGAACCCAAACCTGAGAGCTTCATCCTTGCACTGCTGGTACGGCCGGTGCTACGGGGCCTCCGTCTCCCCCAGCTTAGGCTTCCAGCCTTCAGCCACAGAGGATGGACAAGTCTGTTCAGGGCCCTAGTCCTCCTGCTCCTCCAGCTGCCCCCTTTGTTTGCCAGCCCCTCTGTGAGGCCCAGTCCCTGCTGACCCCCCCAGGCCACCCCCTCAGCCTCTGTGCTTTGAGCTATGCTCCTTAGAACCAGTCCAGGTGGTCAGGCCCGTGATAGGCCAAAGCTTGTAGCCTTCACCTTTACAAGACCTCCAGTGTGCCCCCTTCTGTCCTCTGACACTGCTTCCACCCTGGTACAGGCCCTTATCAGCTGCTGGGGACCGGGAAGGGCTGCCTGTTTCTCCCCCCTCCCGTCCATCCTTCATTCAGCCACCAAAGTGATTTTTCTAAAGCACAGATCTGATCACGTTGCACAACCCCAGCCTTACTCAATTCACTGCAGGGGCTCCCTCTTGCCTCCAAGATCAAATAGAAAATGCTCTGTTTGGCATTCAAAGCCCCTCGTACACTAGCCCCCTCCTCCCTTTCCAGTCTGCTTAAGCCTTACTTCCTCCACATACTCTTCCACCCAGCGGCACTGGCCTCCTGGCTATTCTGTAAACAGGACCGCCCATCTCTTGATTCTCGGCATTTTCTCTCCCTGTCCCTCATGCCTGGAGCTCTCTCCCTCCTCAGCTCCACCTCCTTGGGTCCTTCAGGTTCCAAGTAAAATCCCACCTTCCGGGATAAACCCTTCCAGATTGCCCTTAATCCCTTCTCTCCAATTTATTCCTTCTCTGTCTTGTTTGTATATATTTGTTTGCTTCTGGTCTCCTCCATTAGACTGGAGCTCCTGGAGAGAAGGGACTATCTTTTGCTTTTTAGCCCTAGCCCTCAGCACAGTGCCTGGCACACAGTGGGCACTTGTAAATGCTTATTGACCGACTATCCCTAACTAGAAAGCAAGAAAAGACCACCAAAGCACAGATGTAGAGTTGGGAGGGAGCTTAGCAAACATCTGGTCCCACACTCATTTTACAGGTGAGGAAACTGAGTCTCAGAGAGTGGAAGGGACTTGCCCACGATCACAGAGTTGGTAAACATCAGAGCTGCCATCCAAACCCAGGGCCCTGTCTCTGGCTATTCAACCCAACTCTGACCACTCTCACTCTCGTGAGCCTCAGTTGCCGTGACCAGACTCTGACCCCTCAGGCTGGAGGGACAGGAAGTTTCCATTTCCCAGCTCAACACCACTGCAACACCTGTGGCCTGAGAGGAGGAAATTGTGCAAGCCTTGGAGACGATAATCTCTGGTTAGAGATCAGACTCAGCTGGCAGCCCCTGTGGGGGCCTTAGCTGGGGGGAAGTCCAAGCTGCATCTCAGCCTTGAGAAAGGAAGAGCCTGCTTGGATGGAGGAGCCGGCCTTTGAGATTGCCAGAAGCCAGATGTGAAACACAATGAGTGCGGCCCTGTCAAGCACCTGCTTGTTGTACCAAGCTAGTCCTGCCACTAGTCAGACTTCCTGCTCCTTTCGTTTCCCACCTTCCACAAAGCCATGGGGCTTTTGTTTGCTTTGTTTCCATTGTATAGGGTTTGTTTTTCTAAAAATATGAACACACACACACACACACAGAGTGAACATTCCTTACCCATCCTCCTCGCCTCTTGAGCCATGTCACCAGTGTCTTCCGAACAAACTCTCCCAGGCAGTCCACAATGGTGTGGACCATGGCTGGTTGGGCCTGCCTCACACAGTCCACCGCCAGCCCTGCTGCCACCGCATAGAGGGAGACCACTTTGCCCCATGTTATTCCTACAAAAGAAGAAAGGCCCAGTCTTTCTTAGCTCAACTCATCTACCATGAACCAGCCCCCTTCCTCTCTGGCTCCAGGGAATGTTGGGATTTTCCAGTTATCTGTGGAGCTCAAGGGATTAAAGACCATTTTTTAGTACAGGAAAGCACTTCCGAGGCCATGGCGTTCTGCCCCTTCATTTTAGGGGGCCAAGGCCCAGGCCTCAGGGCTCTCTGATACAGTTGTTCATAGCAACAACTCCCATTTCATAGTGCCTTAAGGCCTATATAGCCCTTCCTCCCAAATCCCCTCTGAGGCATTCATTTATTCATTCATTCATTCATTCATGAAGCATTTATTATGCACCTACTGTGTGCTAAGCCCTGTGAATAGGAAAATGACAGAACTGTTAGATTCCTACATCACAGCTGAGGAAATTCATGGAAATGAAGCAATTTGTCCAAGGTTCCATAGCTAGTAAATGCCAGAGCCAAGGGCTCAGCTCCAAAAGTGGTGTGCTCTCCACTACACAGGGCAGAGCGAGGGTTCTTAGCTGGGGGTCCCCAGGCTCCTAAGGAATCTGTGGACAGAGTTCAGGGAAAGAGATCTCTCAACTTTGGCGGGGGAAAATTACATCTTTATTTTCCTGACTTTGGTTTACTTTGTTATCCTATGGATTTGATTTCATGCCTCAAAACATTCTGAGAAGGGTTGGTCCATAGTGTTTCCCAGATTGCCAAACGTAGAGGTGGGGGACCATGACACAAAGGGAGTGAAGGCCTTCAGGCATAGAGGGAGACTCTCTATCTTCTTCTTCTTCCTCCTCCTCCTCCTCCTCCTCTTCTTCTTCTCCTTCTTCTTCTTCTTCTTTTCCTTCTTCTTCTTCTTCTTCTTCCTCCTCCTCCTCCTCCTCCTCTTCTTCTTCTCCTTCTTCTTCCTCCTCCTCCTCCTCCTCCTCTTCTTCTCTCCTTCTTCTTCTTCTTCTTCTTTTCCTTCTTCTTCTTCTTCTTCCTCCTCCTCCTCCTCCTCCTCCTCTTCTTCTTCTTCTTCTTCTTCTTCTTCTTCTTCTTCTTCTTCTTCTTCTTCTTCTTCTTTTCTTCTTCTTCTTCTTCTCTCCTCTCTTCCCTCTCTCTCTTTCTCTCTCTCTCTCCTGCTTTTCTTTTTTTCCCTCAGGCACCTGCTTAGCCTTAGGCCTGTTCCTGGCTCTCCCAGGCAGGGCTCCAAAGGTTGGCCTAATGTTGACCTTGGGCAAACATTAACTGAGTTTGATAAATGACCAGATTAGAACGTTCTTCCTCTTTCCTCCCTGACCTCCCAACAGGAGCTGGTTGGACAGCCTTAGCTTTATCTTTCCTTCTCCTTCACCTTTTATTTTTGATAACATTCCTTAGAATTTACTATCTCTGAGGAAACTTCCTTTCCCAATGCAGACCCCCTACTCAGAAACTTATAGCAAGTGTTCTTACCCTGTGGTCCAGCCAAAGTGGGTTCATTGACATCTACCCAATGCTGACCACCACTCTTCTAACTATGTGCACACATGCACACACACACCTTGCTTCCTGGAACAGGCTGGGGCTTCACAGCATAAAACCATACGTGGAAAGAGTTTTTTGGTGGAGTTTTAGGGGGGAGGGAGGTATGTTTTGTAAGAGGACAATCAGCAAGTTAATCTCATTCACAACACAGCTTCCTGTGCAGCCCAGCTGCAGGGCAGCTGCCCCCAGGTGCCCTCCCAGCTCCAGCTTCCTTAATCGCTGGGCCTGTGAACCTAATCAAAGGGTTGCTTTCTCACTGAGAGGGTGTCAGTGTGATTTAGCCCAGACTCAGGACATTTTTCCTTGGCCTGAGTGGGTGGGAGTGGGGTAAGACTGAGGAGACAAACGAAAACTTCTTCCCAGTTTTTTCCAAAGGCCAGTCAGGTCAGTAGAAAGGGGCTCAGGGTAATGATAAGTATCTATGGCCAGGCATGCAACTGAGGTTCAATTCCCTGATAGAGAATAACAGACTTTTTGACCAGGCAGTTCAGGATGACAGAAAGAGCTCTGGATTTAGAGTCACATGACCTGCAGTTAGACCATAGCTCATGAGGTCCACTACCACCCCCAGATCTTTTCCAGTAGACAATATGATTTGGGAGATAAAAGGGCTAACAGAATGTTGGCTCCATTAAGAGGCCTAGTGTCTAGAATGAGGGAAATGACAGTCCCTCTGCCCGGGTCAGACCTTTTGTGTTAATTCTGGGGAGGACCTTGACACACTAGAGCACTTTGAGGGCAGGAGAGGTGGATGGAGATTACGCCACATGAAGCCTAAATAAAGCAACTGGGAGGTGTTGAGCCAGGAGAAGTCAGGGGCTGGGTCTTCATTCTGGTTCATAGAATCACAGGAGCAGAGATTCAGAGTGAGATGGAGGTTAGGGAGCCCAATCGCCTCCTCTTGCAGATGAAGAAACTGAAGCCAGGAGTAGTCAGTAAGCGCCTTGAAGGTAAGGACTGTTTATTCACTGTCACCTAGCTGCCCTAGGAAGTACTTAGCGCTGAATAATTGAGTGACTTGTTGGGGCCATTATCTGAAGTATGATTCGAACCCAGGTCTTCCTGACTCCAAGCCCAGTGTTCTATCTACTGTCCCTCACTGCTCAGGATGATGATGGACAGGACCCTCCACAGCCCCCAGGGGTCCTATCACACAAGCTGGGAAGTCAGAGGCAAAGGGATTTCCCATGTCTATTCTTTCTTTATTGGCCCAGGGAAATGTTGCCCTCTGGCTGCTAACCCACTGTGAACCCCTGCTCCTCTTCACACTGTGCATGACTGACCTATAAAATGAGTCGGAGTAGATGTCCCACTCAGCCCATCATTGGGATCCTCTGAATTTCAGAAAAGGAGGTGTCTGGGGCACAAAGACCCTCACTGGGGCTGAGGATAGTTTTCAGGGGATCCAGGAACTCAGATGTGGAAAAAACCACATCTTTATTTCAATAAGATTGGTTTCCTTTCTACACTGAGATATTTTATTTCATGCATTTAACACACGCGTTTGAGGAGGGTCCATGGGCTTCAGTAGACTGACTGCCCAAGGGTCCAGAACCCACAAAGGTTTAAGAAGCCCTGACGTAGTAAATGACCCTCATTGTACAGCTCAGGAAGGGAGGCGAGAGCCCAAGTGTCCTTGCTCCCAGGACAGCTCTCTGTCCCGTACATCCCATTTCCCCTCAAGCCAGGCTCCCCAAGAAGCTCCAGGAATGCCCAGGCCAGACCCCCTTTGCCTCTGGCAGGCAGCTCCCAACATCAGGGGTGTTCTAGGCTGCCAGGCCCCACGCAGAGGCTGAGCTGAGGGGAGGCCACCGCTGGCCAAGCCCCGCTCTCACCTCCATGTCGGTAGGATTGCTTGGCTCCCAAAGCAGTCCTCTGCCCCAGGCTCTCTTACCTCCCTGGCTGATGCCAAGGCAAGGAGCCACCCAGGGCTCAGAGAGCCACAGTTAAAGAGATTAACTTCCCTTTGAAAGTAAACATTCTTCTCATAAAAGGTGATGGTATGACAGCCCTGGAGACAGAGCTCTTCTGTTTACCCACCCCATCACGCAGGCACCCTTCTCCTGCCCCCTTTGGGAACAGTGCATTGGTGGAGATCAAAGGGGCCTCCTGGGAGGCGAGGACCGGGCCTGTCCTGCCCGGGGCCATGCCCACTTTGGATCGCAGCCAGCACGGCTGAGGCAGGACCGTCAGTCAGCGCCTAGAACGTGGTAGGCGCTCAGTAAATACGTGTTGATGAATAATTATTAATATTGTTAACAACAATAATAAATGTTGATTAACAATGACAAATAAATGAACAGTGGCCATTCTGAGAAATCATAAGTTTCAGAGCCTGAAGACACAGACCTTTGAAAACATCTAGTCCATGCCATGCCTGAATAAGAATCCATGCTAATACTAACATTAAGGGCATTTACATAATGCTTCAAGGTGACAAACAGAGCACTTTATGTCTGTCAGCTCATCTGATCCTTCTACCCAACAAGTGATGGGCCAGGTTGTGCTCAACATCCTCCCAAGACAAAGTCCCATACCCTCATTGGACAAATGGGGCGACTGAGTCTCTGGCTGAGGCCAAAGGGGCTGTCACTTCATCTCAGTCTTAGTTTCCTCATCTGCAAAATGGGGACAAAAACAACATTCCTTTTGTAAAGCTTAGCTTGCTGGTGTGACCCTGGGTAAGTCATTGAACTTCGCCGTGTCTTACTTCCTCCTCCGTAAAATGAGGCTGACCCCTGGAATTCCCTGCAGCTCGCAGTCTGTGCTTCTCTGATCCTAATGTATAAAAATCTGGACTGCTGTTAGGGAAGAGGTGTTACTAATGATGCACAGTCTAGCTAAGAAGTCCCATTAACTTAGTAACCAGGGGCAGCTAGGTGGACTGGCCCTGGAGTCAGGAGGACCTGAGTTCAAATGGGGCTTCAGACACTTGACACTTACTAGCTGTGTGACCCTGGGCAAGTCACTCAATTCCATTGCCTAGCAAAAAACAAAAACAAAACAAAAACTTCATAACCAGGCTGGGACCCTCAATTTACCTCCCAAGGAGCTTCAGCCAGCACGTGGGGGCTGAAACGTCACTTAAAATAACGTCTGGAGGCAGCAGAAGGAACTCTCTCTGTAGGAGAGTCAGAGGCCCAGGGTTCAAAACCCACCTTTGCCCCGTTCGACCAATAGGATCTTGGGCAGGTAATTTTACTTCCCTGGGCCTTGATTTCCTCATTCGTAAAATGGGGGGCAGGTGTTCCGGATGTCCTCTGATCTCCCTTCAAGCTGTAGGTCTAGGAGTCTCTGTTTAGAGAGAACGGTTTAAATAAACCAGCTCTGGAGGAGGTAGAAACCCAAGTAACCTCTCACACAAAGAGGAATATCTGACTCCTTTCTGAGGAGGAAGAATTAGCAAGTGAGACAGAAGCTGTCTCTGCTTCACAGAGGTTGGAGCCCCGGGCCAGAGTCGGGAAGATGCCTCTCTCCCTGAG